ACTTTCATAATTATCTTTTAAATTGACAAACATCATATGTGTAATTCAGGGCACAGTTCAGACGGAATAAAAAGATAAGTTGTCTCTCGCCATTGACTAGCATTCATATTTTTTTCAGAAATAGGGTCCCATGAGCCGGAAGCGGAGGGGAGGGGCTTAGGCTCTCTATAGTCTTATCGCACATCCGGATTTTGCCGAGTAAACATATTCCTGGGTCAGCATATTTTGTTGGTGTCTGGAACAACATTCTGGTCTGAAAATGTTATCCTGACCATATCCCTAAACCTAACTCTACCCATAAGCTATCCTGGTAACACTTTATTTTACAGTGTCCTTGTTACATATGTTACATGTACTTACTAGAGATGCGCGGTTGGCGGTTATAGCCGCGGATAAACCGCGGATCGGGCGGATGACGTGCCGATTTTTTTTTTATTTTATTAAATTCGGGCGGGTGGCGGGCGGTTTCTAGTCTCGCGGCTGTCATCAGCAGCGCCTTGTATCAGCGGATGGCGGGCAGGTGCGGTTTTGAAAATTGGTCAAAAACGTTGGTGCGGATGGATGGCGGACGGATGATGAGTTTTGTGATGCGGTTGCGGATGAAATAATAGCCCATCCGCGCTTCTCTAGTACTTACCATAATGATAACAGTAAATTATGCATAATTATATGCAACTAACCCTCAACCAAATCCTAACCCTATAGTAAGTACATGTAGTTGCTTAATATTACTGAGTAATTATACAAATAATGATATAAATAATTATACAGTATTATATAAATAATTTTACCGTAACAATGACACCTTAAAATAAAGTGTAACCACTATCCCTGAAATCAGAGGGAAATGAGAGGTTAATAACACTGATGTAGAAGCACCTAACCCTGATTGTAAGCCTAAACTTGACACAAACTGTAAACGTTTCCCTCAAATCTGATTGGTTGATTGGAATGTTGATCCAGGAACATGTTGCACTTGGTGAAATCAGTTTCTGCAGTCTTATCGGTAACACTTTAAGGAGTCACGACATGGATTTTCTTTTACTATTTTAATATGTTCCTTGAGGTTCACTTATGATGTTAAAGTTTTTTGCACAAAAAAGTAATTATATGTGAAAAACGATTATTTTCAACCCTCATTCTGTGCCTCTCTCTGAGACGATCCGCTCCTTTAAGGCTTGTCAGTAACGCACACTGTTGCGATTGGCTAACGTCATTGGAACCAGTATCAACGCC